CACATCACTTACGTGAATAATTTATTTTATATTAATTTACTTAATTAAAGCTTAAAGTGAAACTTTTGTTACATGGCCGCAAATTTTTTCGTGCATCTTTAGCATGTTGCAACATTTTTATTGGATAAATCTAAAGAAATTTTTATTTAAAAAATCTACGTGGCCCGGGGCATCAGACAGGATTTGAACTCTCACCTTTCGTCGGCCGTGTCAAATTTCTTCTTGTATTTCTTAGACCAGAAATGGTTAGTAAAGAACCCGAGTGGAATATTTCCTTAAAAAAATCTTTAGTTTTAATGGAATAGCATGACCCACCACGCGGGCCCAGTGCGGATTGGTGGGTGCTAACGACTGCAGATGCAGCCGGGACCAACAGCTTAACGTGCCTTCCGAAACACGGAGGAGCTCGAGATAGTAAATTTTTGGTCACCCATCCAATGACCGACCACTGCGAAAGTTGCTTAACTTCAACGATCGCAGCCGAACGCGCTAACTACTTGCGCCATCGAGCTCCTCGAAAAATATATACTGAACCACAATTGCTATTTTTACTTTGAAAGTGTTAATAAAGGCTTTTAATACTTCTAAAAGTATTAAGTTGGACATTGTGGGTAACCTGCAATTCGCAAAGTTAGCGCTGCCTTGCAGCCTAAGTAATACTAGAAGGAATTCGACACGGCCATTAAGGCCTCAGAACTGGTTAGTGCGTCCGCCTAGAATGCGGAAGGTGCGGCTTCGAATCCCGTCTGATGCTTAGACCGCGTGCAATATTTTCTAGTAAAATTTTCTTTAGATTTATAAATCGAGTTTCTTAGCAGTCTAAGCTTGTTTTATTACACAATAAAAAAAAATAATTTAATTGAATGCTTAAATGTAGCCCAAGATCGATCTGAGTGGCGTGCATTTGGAGAGGCTTATGTCCAGCAGTGGACAAGATAGGCTGTTGATGGAATGCTTAAATTATAAAAAAATATAATCTTCTTTGTTACAGCAATAGAATTAGAAAACAAGTAATTTTGACCACCATTAAAATTGATCGGCATCTTTGAGCAGCGCAGTAACAGACTAGATACAAAATAAAACCGGCCAAGTGCGAGTCGGACTCGCGTACCGAGGGTTCCGTACAAAAATATTCAAAAATGTTTTTTATTTTATGATGTAACTAAAAATTTACGGTTTTCGCAATTTTTCCTTTATCTGTACTATAAGACGTTACTTCGTACCAAATTTCAAGATTCTAAGTTCACGGGAAGTACCCTGTAGGTTTTGATTCCCGTGCGAGTTTCGAAAATTTGCGGCATAAATGGCTGTATCTTTTGATTGCTTTGGCTTAGAAGTTTGATTTTTTCATAGCTCCAAGGGACAGTAGACCTGAGTATAAGGTATGAATTTCAGTTTGATACCTCCACGCGTTCCTGAGAAAAACGGTCTTGACAGACGGACGGACGGACAGACGGACAACAAAGTGATCCTATAAGGGTTCCGTTTTTTCCTTTTGAGGTACGGAACCCTAAAAATCAGAACTCGACACTCTTTTAAAATAAAAAAATACTTATGTTTATTTTTATTGTTGTCATCATATTAAACACAGTTTTACATATACCTAACATGAAATTAAACAGATTGGAATAACTCCAATTCGCCCGGGTAACGGTGATAAATGTATTGTTATACGGCCCACATCTGACCAAGCTGAATTTAAATGTCTAATTAAATAAATCATGTCGTATCATTAGAATAGCAAGGTTCTTAATGAAAATATAGTGAGCGATAACTCTTAAAGCTCTTAAATTACCGATTTTGTCAGTGAACCTAATATGTAACCTTGGGGCATTCACTCAAACTATATCAATACTAAGAAATTGCATCGCAATTTGCAATGCGCATAGACTTATAAAATATGGTGTTGATGAAATACTTATAATAACTGTATATGAAAGGAAGAAAGAAAAACATTTTATTAGCCTTCACAGCATGAAATTAGTAAAACAAAATGGCAGTTAAATAAAACACATAGAGATAATAACAAACTTAATGATATAAAGCATTTCATTGAAAATCAATAGGGTATTTGACAGTATTAGAAATAAAGTGCCAATTGTTAGCATCTGTGTTTAGAATGAATGTGGGCAGGGGTTTTCACTATTTTTACAAAAAAAAATATTCATAATTTTATTATCTACCCACGAAAAAGATAATAGTTTTCTTATCTATTGTCACGTGACCCAAAACGCTTGGGATTGGCGGAGCCTAAAATGACGTCACACGCAAGTAAACTTCCGGTTAAAGTGACGTTACATTGTATCGTTTGACGTTTTATTAACAGTCGTGTTACGTCACACACTAGTAAGACGCCATATTGTCCAGAGAAACGTTTACGCGGTAACTTGAAAATGGAGTTTTTGACATGGTTATTTTTACTGAAATACTCAACAGAATAATGAATATCCACTTTTTACGAACTCCATAAACATTAGTCAATAACGTGAGATCGTTTTCTAAAACTTGTCAAATACCCGATTGAAAATTATGCTTCAACGATCTATAATTAAGACAATATCAGAAGAGTGTGACAGATAAAACTAAACAACATACTTGCTACCACAAAGAAACTCATTTTGTAAATTAATCGCAATTTTATTCTGAAAACTCTACTAATCGTGCACGTCAGTCTTTGATGCTGGGATTCTCTTGAATCCACTTAACAATAAGTCTAAACCATGCCACACCCGTAGCAACATAATTAATACTGATGTTCTTTATAAAATAACTCATGGTCTAGTTGAAAGAAAAAAGAGGTCGTTTCAAAATGATATATAGTTATCATTCATAAAAATATATAACACGTAACCAAAACTCATGATTCTCTTTCAACAGACTGTAGTAAATGAGCATAGAAATAATCAAATAAATGTAGACACAGAATTAAAGAACGAAGACAAAATATTGTAGTTGCTGAACCAAAATATTGCTCATATTTCACTCGTTTTCACAATTCACATGTCTTAACGTATGATATGTCCGTTTATTATTTTAAACTTTTAAATCGGCTAATGCCGGTATACATATTTATTTTTGAATGCCATATAGACTCGGTGTGTTGGGTGGGCTACAAATCCCATTGTAGTTTCTCGGTTTATAAATAGTCAGGCCAGTTCATCTGGGCTCTGAATTAGTTTAGAACGTAAACAAATCTACGATTTTATCTAAACCTTGTACTGTAGCGTTTATTTTGCTAACGAATTGTAAAATGCGGACTAATTTATCTGACTGATTTAAATATACACTCAATGCGTACTACTGTTACGTCACTAATGTTTCAGGAAACTATTTGTATTCCAGATCGGCTATCGAATACTTCAACGATACGTCAAAACTTCCTTTTAACATGACTTAGGTAGAAGTATTAAATGATGAATAGCTTATTGTTTAAGTTCATAATTTAATAATAAACTTGATGATTAAGAAGCTGAAGTCACTTTTTTTATAGATTCTGGACAGCTCACAACAATTATTTAGTACAAACTAACATTAATAAGCACAACCATCTACAACTTAAACAAAAAAAAATAGGTAGGCATGATGACTAACTTTTTTTCTTAGTCTATCAGGTAGATTATCAATAAGTATTGGACACGTATTTTTTCTTTGTTCACATAATCAAAACATTACTGAGCTTAAATTGATTTGAAACCTCACACGAAGGCACATCCTGGTACAATTTTTACTTAAAAGTGACATCACTCGCAAACTTGTATTTTGCCCTTTTTGGTTTATTGACAAAAGAAAAAATAAGTGACCACTTAATTTTGATAATTTCACTGACGAACTACATATATAGAATTTCGTTTACTCATTCTTACATCATCCCTATTGTGTGATGAGCTCATACCGGAATTCGAATTTGAACCCAGGAACTTTGGAGCAGATTGCATCCAAGCGGTATAAGTGTAACCAATTTTAGAATAACACAATTTTCAGTTATAATAACTTATAGAAAAGGAGTGGTAATCTAACACGAAGCAAAACTTGCACTATAGTGAAAAATTAATGAAAGGGTGTTCAATCTAACATGGAAGTTAATAGAACAAAATTCAAAGCGACAAGTTAAAACTTACGCGAACCACTGGTAAATGTTACAAGCCTCGGAGACGTGGTTTCCCATTGATTGCCTTACGACAACGCGACGGTCCCTACCTAAAGAGTTACCTATCTAACTATATCTATAGAAAAAAAAATACCCGAATGCGGTGAAAGTTTAAACTGCACATATTTTCTGCAAATCGAACTTATTGCCGCTGCACCAACTATTTTGGAATGTTTATGGCTAGCAATCACGGAATGTGACGACAGCGACAAATTCGCCGAAGTTGTAGCGTCAACCGCTGGAAGGTGTACACGGGATTGAATTTGTTGTGGACTGTTCCGAAAATAAATAAATTTCAATTTCCGTCCGGCTTTCATCGTACCTAGTTGTTTCTGTTCGATACATTCGTCATTGTGGTACTTTGTCCGCCTCTCCGTATATGCATATGCATGTGATTTGCGCCCGATCGATTTTTCTTCTATTACTGAAAATTTTACTTGCGATTTGAATTCCTTTGTTAAACAATTATCTGCACTCATTTGCTCTTTACATCAATCTACCTATTTGATGATTAATTTCCATATTGTATTTAAAAAATTATTCACCATTTGCCGTCCAATTTTTTCGTAGTCAAAATACCTGTAATACTCGTACCTTCAAAAAACGGCGTTGAACCACGTATATCTTACGTTCCCAACCGTCCATTGTTGCGGCGCTATGTGCTCACGCCTGGTTGTTCACCCACGTATCGTAATTCAGGGATCAATTTGATCGCGTGTCTAGAGCAGAGGTCTCCTGCTGTCGTAGGTAGCGCTGTGTGCGCCGGAGGTCTTACTCGCATGTCGTCAGAAGGGGCAGCTGCGTATAGTTTGCGTGTCCTCACCTCCTGTTGCTGTAGCTCACCTTCTGTTGCTTAGCTGCCCGCCGGAGGTCTGACTCGCGTGTCGTTAGAAGGAGCAGCTGCGTATAGTTCACGTGTCTCACCTCCTGTTGCTGTAGCGCTGTGTGCGCACGCCTTGTTCGGCCCGCCCGCCGGAGGTCTTACTCGCGTGTCGTCAGAAGGGGCAGTTGCGTATAGTTTGCGTGTCTCACCTCCTGTTGCTGTAGCGCTGTGTGCGCACGCCTTGTTCGGCCCGCCCGCCGAAGGTCTTACTCGCGTGTCATCAGAAGGGGCAGCTGCGTATAGTTCACGTGTCTTACCTCCTGTTGCTGTAGCGCTGTGTGCGCACGCCTTGTTCGGCCCGCCCGCCGGAGGTCTTACTCGCGTGTCGTCAGAAGGGGCAGTTGCGTATAGTTTGCGTGTCTCACCTCCTGTTGCTGTAGCGCTGTGTGCGCACGCCTGGTTCGGCCCGCCCGCCGGAGGTCTTACTCGCGTGTCGTCAGAAGGGGCAGTTGCGTATAGTTTGCGTGTCTCACCTCCTGTTGCTGTAGCGCTGTGTGCGCACGCCTGGTTCGGCCCGCCCGCCGGAGGTCTTACTCGCGTGTCGTCAGAAGGGGCAGTTGCGTATAGTTTGCGTGTCTCACCTCCTGTTGCTGTAGCGCTGTGTGCGCACGCCTGGTTCGGCCCGCCCGCCGGAGGTCTTACTCGCGTGTCGTCATAAGGGGCAGTTGCGTATAGTTTGCGTGTCTCACCTCCTGTTGCTGTAGCGCTGTGTGCGCACGCCTGGTTCGGCCCGCCCGCCGGAGGTCTTACTCGCGTGTCGTCAGAAGGGGCAGTTGCGTATAGTTTGCGTGTCTCACCTCCTGTTGCTGTAGCGCTGTGTGCGCACGCCTGGTTCGGCCCGCCCGCCGGAGGTCTTACTCGCGTGTCGTCAGAAGGGGCAGTTGCGTATAGTTTGCGTGTCTCACCTCCTGTTACTGTAGCGCTGTGTGCGCACGCCTGGTTCGGCCCGCCCGCCGGAGGTCTTACTCGCGTGTCGTCAGAAGGGGCAGTTGCGTATAGTTTGCGTGTCTCACCTCCTGTTGCTGTAGCGCTGTGTGCGCACGCCTGGTTCGGCCCGCCCGCCGGAGGTCTTACTCGCGTGTCGTCAGAAGGGGCAGTTGCGTATAGTTTGCGTGTCTCACCTCCTGTTGCTGTAGCGCTGTGTGCGCACGCCTGGTTCGGCCCGCCCGCCGGAGGTCTTACTCGCGTGTCGTCAGAAGGGGCAGTTGCGTATAGTTTGCGTGTCTCACCTCCTGTTGCTGTAGCGCTGTGTGCGCACGCCTGGTTCGGCCCGCCCGCCGGAGGTCTTACTCGCGTGTCATCAGAAGGGGCAGCTGCGTATAGTTTTCGTGTCTCACCTATTGTTGCTGTAGCTCACCTTCTGTTGCTGTAGCTGCCCGCCGGAACTCTCACTCGCGTGTCGTCAGAAGGGGCAGCTGCGTATAGTTTTCGTGTCTCACCTCCTGTTACTGTAGCGCTGTGTGCGCACGCCTGGTTCGGCCCGCCCGCCGGAGGTCTTGCCCATCGGTGAGAAATCAGGACGCCGCCGGCGACCACATCGCCGCCGCACCTACACCTGTAAAAATATGATAACATATAATCTATATATATGAAACTCAAAGGTGACTGACTGACATAGTGATCTATCAACGCGCAGCCCAAACCTCTGGACGGATCGGGCTGAAATTTGGCATGCAGGTAGATGTTATGACGTAGGCATCCGCTAAGAAAGGATTTTGACTAATTCTACCCCAAGGGGATAAAATAGGGAATGAAAGTTTGTATGAAACTTTGTCAATTTTAAAACTGAGAGACTTTACATGCAGGTATAAGAAGAATGATAGATGAATGTCATTGTGTATAATACAAGCCTGAGAACAAAAACTGTAGTCTACACTTCAGCTCTACACCGAAGCGAAGCGAAGTCGGGCCGCTAGTATAACATACAATTTGTAGTTTCTTCTTATTTCACTTCTTAATTTTTATTCATGAGAGGTGGAAAATCAGGTTTTCCCAACGGACTGAATTATTTGTCTGAGTAGAGAACCTTAACCTAAGAACAGAGCATTGCAATTATGAATAAGATTTCTGGGGCTCCAGAAGTAACTCTTAGAAGGCACATTTATATCTACTAACTATTTGGTTCAGTGGTTTCTTCCAACACAAGTGATGGGGTAGTGTGAAGTTTGAATGGTGTTCTGGTATTTAAATCTCAAAACTTCCAATTTTTTGAAGTGATAACTTATTATGGTAAGATTTATTACGTAACGAATAATGGTGATAGTTTATCTGACTTCCCTCCCTCTCACGCATACGGTAGGTAGGCTCATTCTCTCTCACTTTAAGCCGCAGCGCATCCGTGTCGCTTAGATTAGTTTAAGTTATCACTTCTGTCTGACGCACACACTTTTTTTATTAGTACCTATCTACACTCATGTGAAGTCGCGCGGGCAGCTTATGATAAATAAAAATATAGATTTAAATAAAACTAGTTTTTAACGGGTTAATGCACGAAACTTTATTTATTTATTGACGTTTCGCAGCCTTTTCAGGTCTGCAACGTCAGAATACTGATTTTTTATTTAATTTTAATTACCAAACTTTTTATTTTTAAATACCAAACGCGAGGCATGCGCCACGCTATTTCCCAACTTAAAAAAAAATTATGTAGTTTTTTTTTATTGTTTTTCAATGCAAAGTTTTACGCTACAATAACTTCATGTATGTCACTACTAATGTTTTTTTCTAATGAATTTTTGAGAGGTTAGAAAGAATTTTGTATTAACCAAAGTTGAACGAATTAATTACTCTTAAACTAACAAATTTATCTTACGATTATCATCATCATCATCATCAGCCTATTAATGTCCCCACTGCTGGGGCACAAGCCTTCCCTATGGATGGAATAGGGAGATTGGGCCATGACCCACCACGCGGGCCCAGTGCGGATTTGTGGGTGCTAACGACTGCAGATGCAACCGGGACCATCGGCTTAACGTGCCTTCCGAAGCACGGAGGAGCTTGAGATAGTAAATTTTTGGTCACCCATCCAATGACCGACCACTGCGAAAGTTGCTTAACTTCAACGATCGCAGCCGGACGCGCTACCCAGTTGCGCCATCGAGCTCCTCTGGTAATATAATCTTACGATTATAATTTTCCTTAAAAGTTCATAAAAAGCACTATTATCATAAATTTTTCCATGTTTTTCAAGCCAATAGTTTAGCTTTTTGAGGGGTGGGGGGGGGACGCTCTACTCAAACAAAAATTAGCACTTTAAAGTTCTATATTTCGCAAACGGATCTTTTAATCGAAAAATAGTCTTAGAAACTCCGTAGTAATATTAAAGGACGATGGGATAGAAGATGAAAGAAAACATCATCCCAAGGTTACTTAAAGGGGAGGTACCATAAAAAAAAATATACAGTAATGTGCTAATAGTCTCCAAGCAAAACCGGAGACGGACAGACAGACGGACATAACGAAACTATAAGGGTTCCTTGTCAGGACTGCGGAACACTAAAAAGTGGACAAGGTTAATAGAAGAACATTTATAAAAATCGAAAAGAAAAAATATGGCGGTACGAAGTTCGTCGGGTCAGCTTGTAAATAATAAAACCGTCTGTCCTTAAACTAGATCATATTTCAACAGGATTATGACTTAATTTAACTTTAAGTGGAGATAAGAACTCAAGTTTTAATCTCTCAAGTTGGAGGTTCAGCATTCCGTCGTGAATATTCTTGGGTTCAATTTGCAAATATGACGTTACCTAACCATGTGTTTAAAAAGAAAATTCTATATAGGTGCAGACTGGCTGACTGGCTGGTCGTTCTTAGGTACTACATCGTAAAGAAAAATAAATCTCGGAGGCGATAACAGGACAATGATTTGTCATCATCATCAGCCTATAACTGTCCCCACTGCTGGGGCACAGGCCTTCCCTATGGTTGGAATAGGGAGATTGGGCCATGACCCACAACGCGAGCCCAGTACGGATTGGCGGGTGCTAACGACTGCAGATGCCGGGACCAACGCAACGCCTTAACGTGCCTTCCAAAGCACGGAGGAACTCGAGATATAAGATTTTTGGTCACCAATCAATGACCGACCAATTCCAAAGCACGGAGGAACTCGAGATAGAAGATTTTTGGTCACCCATCTGATGACCGACCACTGCGAAAATTAAGCAACTTTCCAACTTCTCAACGATGAAGGAGAAGCGAGTGAAGCTAAAAAATAGAAACGTGATAGCCAGCAGCGGGAATCGAGTACGTAGTTCTTATAGTGTTATCGCTCGGCTATTAAGCGAATGTTCGATTACGACTGGGCCACTTGCTCGCGGAGACAATCCTAAGCAAAACTAAACTAAACTAAAAAAAGACGCGTAGTCTTTTTTTGAAGTGAAAACTTCTTTAGCGGCATTGTACACTTTTTTTTGTATGGGTAAAAAATGTTAAACTCGCGTCAGGTTAAACACGTGGGCTAATCGCATCATAATACACAATAAAATTGGAAAGGTTGTTGACTTTCAATATATTAAACGAAACATAGTAATATTTTATTTCATAGTATTATAATAATAATACTCTATCTAGGACGTCCACGTGGCAGCTTTATTGCGAAGAAAATGCATTTTTTTTACAACAGATGTCGCTAAGTGCGCTTAAACGTGATTCATGTAAGTTGATTTTTCTGAGAGATAAACTTGTTTAATGTAATATTAATTGTCATGTTTGTGTACGATAGCGCAATAAATAAATATTGTATTGTACCACATACATGATAGTACTTTTATACTGATAATTAAAGCAATTCGTGCAAAATTATTCCCTAACCATTCCAAAATATCAAAAATGCACAACGTTAATATTCAAGTTTTCACTTCTGCCGGCACTCCCGGAGTGCAACTCGTCGTTTTTTTTGAGAGTGTATGCTGTTGGTCGCAATTGAAACGTTACCGGGTTTGGGGACGGCGTGATCCTAAGGGGACCTCAAGCCGAGAATTGGCGAATGCCTCTAGAGAAATTCCAGGCGGATGGCATCTCGCCACGGAGGGAGTCTCTAGACCACTCAAACCTGAAGGGGTCGGCTCCATTAGAGGTCTCTGAGACTCGGACCTCGGCTCTAGTTAGCCGTTGTCGTGGGGCGCGGGGAAAAACGGCCAGGTATGTACCTGTACCTGGTATAGCGTGTCGTGTGTAGACCAGGGGGCCATTCACCTAACGGAAATGCTTTGGATAACGCTAACGCTTACAATTTCATTTTGTTATTTCTAGCCGCCTGAGGTTTTCAAATGCCTCGCGCTCTTTTTTTATCTTTTGCATTGGTTATTAACAATATTAAATATAATGAGCGTGAGGTATTTGAAAACCTTCGGCGATCAGAAATAACAAAATAAAAGCGTTAGCGTTTTCCAAAGCATTTCCGTTAAGCGAATGGCCCCCGGGTCTTCGCACTCTAATCCTACGGGTGCGGTGTCTGCCTAATGCTAAGCTAGTGTGCAAGGATGCTAGCTGTGTAGTGTTGGTGTATGTGGCCTGTGTGGGAGTCGGAGGCGCGTTGGCGCGGGTGATTATGTCGTCGGGGTACTCTACGCGTGTGTTAGAATTTTCATTAATTATTAATTTTATAAACACTTTGAAACTTATATAAAGCGCATTAATAAATACGTGCGCGTATTGAGACAAACGCGCATCACTAAAACAGTATCTCTTAGTTAGCTCTTGTCGGTCGGCGATAAACTAGTGGAAAGGATTCTCACCGGCAGTGCGAACTGTAAGCGATCAACTTTTAAATATATTATGCGCATCTTTTGTTTATACTAACCCCCCCACCCCCTTGTGTGTGTACTGTGTAATGTGTATATTAACTTGTTTTGTGGGAAATGTCTTTTGCCATAGCGTGTGGGGAGAGGGAGAGAGAAATGTTTTTTTTCTCTTCTTTCTTTTTAAATGGATATGGCAGAGATATTTTGATATGTACATTTCTTAAGAGAAAATAGCCGATATTACTCGTAAGTGTCCTCGCCGGGTGGCAGAATAACTGATTCATAGAAGCTAAAAATATATTCTCAATCTTATCGCCATAACTATAGGAATGTTAATTTACTGATGATAAACCAACAGACGTGCTTTCTGAAACATAAATAAAAAAACATAAATTCAAAGGTACTTATTATAAAAAAAGCACTTATTACAAAGTGTCTGATTATATTACAGAAAAAAATGCTTGGGTTTGAACTGTTCCAATCATACCAACAGGTTTTCTATCTATACTTATAATAAATCTGTAGAGAGGTCAATTCTGTACATGAAATATTTTTTCAAAATAACTATCAGGGGGTGATTATTGATCGATACTGATGCCAAAAATGCAATCAGTAAATTTTTTGTCTGTCTGTCTGTCTGTGTGTATGTTCCTTATAGAAACAAAAACTACTCGACGGATTTTAACGAAACTTGGTACAATTATTCTTCATACTTATCTCTCTTTTCATCACGCTACAATCAATAGTAGCAGAGTAGTGAAGGGAAATGTTGGGAAAACGGGAGAAGTTACTCCATTTTTTAAGCTGCCGTCGCGTGTGCAGCCTTAA